CCCCCCGAGTCCTCCCTGCAAGGCTGGAGCACACAAAATCTACTTGCTTGGGCCTACTAGGCTCTGGTGTGAGGAGAATGTGGGGAGTGCCTTTCTCCTTGGTCCGGGGCCACGTCAGTAAGGGGTGTCTTTTTGTGTGCCCCCCCCAGCCCCCATTGATTTTTTTTCCCTGTGGATCAGCTGCCTCCGACCCAAAAAAGGTTCCTTACCCCGCCATAATATATAGATGGAGGATGTGTGTGTGTGCCGTATTTCAGTGACCTTTGTCATTTTCTCTGGGCCACATTGCAGAGTGATGTTTCCGTGCATCAGAACATCAGTGTGTTGTAAACTAAAATAACGGCAGGTTTGGAAGCAAGTTTGCATCCTGCCAGCTGTGTTGGTAGTTGTCCTGTTAAATGGGACAAACAGATCATCAAACGGACTCCTTCCCTACCGGGACACCTGACATAGCAGGCGACCACTAATTCATAGGAAAACGCTCTATGGAAAGGGAGAGCTCTGTTCTCATTATCTGTTTCTAGTTTAAAAAAAAAAACTCACGTTTTCTGTACAGCCTTTTTCTCTGAATTGTTCAAAAATATATTTTTTTTTCTCCTGATGAAATTGAAATTAACAATGCTTTTTATCCATATCTGTACCCAGACTCTTCAGTTACAGATAGGCATGCACACACCGATGGTATCCGTGTTAATTGCTTGTGAAGCTCACACTTTCTATCTGTATCCCAGAGAACGGGGTAGCTCTTAGGAGAAGAATAGTTTCATTTCTCACTGGTAGGGGACTGACTTTGAATTTTAAATTGTAAAGACCTGCCCCTCTAGGCTTTAAAAATGGAAGGGTTCAGAGTCAAGGTCCTGCATATACCCAGAGTTTATTAAAAACCTCCCCCTCTAATCCCTGGATTCCTTTTTTATTACTAACGGCTGATACGCATATGTTTTGCAATACAGAACCAGATGTACCATCCGTGGTCCAGCATGATTTTAGTTCGCTGGATGTCCACTTATCAAGGATGTGGCCAAGTTTCCCGTGGTCCCATAAAGTTTGTTTACAGCCACTAATCCTGGCTCTCAGTTCTGTGCTGTTATTTCTCTCTAATTGATCCCTAAATGTCTTCTAAGAGCCCAGCAAGCAATGGAAGGGAACGCTGCTAGGCAGTATTGGCCTCCCATGGGTCGGCAGATTCTCTGGTTCGGCACCAGTCAAGTCCCAAGGGTGCCGGATGAGAGGGGGTCAACCTGCACACTTTGCAAACGCGTGTGGGGTGCCAGCTCACCTATTCAGCAGGCAGTTGCATGTGTGCCTTGCAACGTGCCTAAGTCCCCCACTGTTGTGTTAAATGTGCATTGCCCACTCAGAGCTGTGGGATGGGACACCTTTTGGGGTAGACCGAAACTGAAATTCTTAAACTGCTGGGAATCCGTCCCAGACACATGGGTGCACATGCATGCTCTCCTTTGCCGTGCATTTCAGAATTGCCAGCCCCATGGAGGGCACCACAATTTACCTCTTTCCATCCATGACTTGAGGCTCACAGTTGCTAAATTGTCCCCCCTGCGACAAGGGGAGCACAGCAGGGCAAGCGTCAGAGAGGGAGAGGCATTTTTACACAGACCCACAGCTGCGTAGCTAGCCCTGCTGGGGAACAGGCTCATTCTGTGGGGCTTTGGGAAATGTGGCCAGAAATGAGCAATGGCTCCTTTAAGGGAGGTTTTATTCTGTCTGCTTGGGAAATCTCCCCTGTTCATCGGCTTCCTCTTTTCAGAATTCTCTCTCTCGCTCTCGCACAC